TACCGTAGGGGCAACACATTGTGTTGCACGGGAGGCCCCTTTGGGCTTGCGACCCCGAGGTACCCGAGCAAGCGGATGGGAAAAATCTGGTCGGCCAAATCCAAACCCGTGGCATCCCAGGAGGTAGGTTTGGACTCGTCCCAAGCTAAGGTTCTCAGCCGCGAACCCCCTGTCATAGGGTTTGCAGCCCTATGACAGGTTATCGAGTGTCTTGCAGTGAATCATCAAGAAGAAGCCTCGGTTGCGTCAACTTGTGAGGTAGTTGACGTATCAGTTCATCCTCACAACGCTGGAGCTGAGGACGGCCGTGGATCAGCCCAGCGTCTAACGGTACAACGGCCAACCCCGAGCAGATCCCCTTCACCTCCTGCCTCCGGTTTTTTACCGGCAAGTCAGCCAGCAACCACCAAAGCAGGAATTCCGAGGCAGTGCATGACTTGGACCAGAGAAATGAACATCGATGTCATGCGTTGCTTCTATAGAGCAACACGACTAGACACCAACGCATCAGGGTACAGATTCCACCTACGCCAATTGTTCCTGGCAGCGTACCCTGATCTAACTAATGACACTGAACAGAGGCTAGTGGATCAGAAACGGGTAATCGTCAACAACAAGAAATTAACTGTGCAGGAGATCGAGGAAATAAAGAGAGAAGTTGCTCATGAGTTACATATCGCATCTACTCCTATGGAGGCGGACATTATCATCACGCCATCATCAGTCGATGAATTCTCTCGTCATGCTAGGGATGGGGTGGTGTCCCCTAGAGCGTATCCAATTCATAGGTTTGTCGATTCAGCGGATAGTGTACCAAGTTTTGAAGACACGATGGAACTGGAAACTCGTGAGAAGATTAGATTCTTCAGAGACAAATGGAGAGGGAGTAATCCAAATCTAAGGCCAGCAATTCCAAAACTTTGGATGAATAGGATGTGCAAAGACCGCATAAAGATTATTAATAATAAGATCATTAATGAACTCATCTCAGAGGAGGCGGATCTCGAAGAAATCCACTTAGTCGTCTACGCTTGTGCCTGCACTGTCACAGTTTTAAATGGCCAGAAGTTAAGGTCGCAGGGTGAGCAATTTCCAAAAAGAAGGAGGAAACCTGCCTGGCAACTGAGACTCGAGAAAAAGATCGAGAGATTGCGGAAGGAAATTGGTCGAACCACTCAGTACTTAAGAGGTGTCAGAACCAAGAAATTGGAGAAAGAGATTAGTCTTATCATCAGGGACAAAAGTAAGACCGTCGCGGAAACCCAAGAGATTTCGAGGATGAAACTCGCTGTTTACGCAGCTCGCCTTCGAAGGTATAACGAGTCCAATGATAGAAAAAACCAGAATGCCCTCTTCAATAGAAATGAAAAGGCCTTCTACAGGAATCTGACCTCGAAGGAGGTACCAGTTACACCACCTAAGAAAGAAGAAGTGACCGCTTTCTGGAAACATCTCTGGTCTAATCCTGTGCAGCATCGGGAGGGTGGTGAATGGATTGAAAAAGAGATTTCCCGGCAGGAAGCCGGAGCAGACAAACCATGTTATCACTGTAAATGAGCTTGCGGAGACTATCAGGGGCACCCATAACTGGAAATGTCCAGGTGCCGACAATGTCCAAAACTTTTGGTATAAGAGCTTCCCTGTATTGCATGCACACCTAACACAGCAAGCCAACAGAATCGTTCAGCATCCCGAATTGGCACCCGAGTTTTTAACAGAAGGAAGGACGTTCATTAAACCAAAGGATGAAGACACAAAGAACCCTGCGAACTATCGTCCCATCACTTGTCTGCCCACCATCTATAAGATAATCACAGCGACCCTCTGTAGGAAAATTGATCGGCACTTGATATCGAATGATGTCCTAACGGAGGAGCAGAAGGGGTGCCGAAAACAGAGCAAAGGTTGCAAGGAGCAGTTAATAGTGGATAGTGTTATTCTGAAGCAAACGGAAAAGAACCGCAGAAATTTGAACACCACATTCATCGACTATTGTAAGGCGTTTGACATGGTGCCTCATTCTTGGTTATTAAGAGTCCTCGAAATCTACAAGATACACCCTGTGTTGAGACACTTCCTGGCATCCGTAATGAAAAATTGGAAAACGAAAATCTCCCTCAAAACGGAGGACGACCAATTGGAAACTGAATTTATTTACATTAAACGTGGAATTTTCCAGGGAGATGCGCTCAGTGCATTGTGGTTTTGTTTACCCCTGAATCCCCTGTCGAATGCTTTGAAAGACACTGAACTTGGGTTTCACATTAAAGAGCGCAGACAAACTCTGTATATTCTCAGTCATCTGATGTTCATAGATGATATTAAAATCTACTCCTCATCGCCGGGTGAGCTTAAAATCTTGCTGGGTGTTGTCCGCTGATATTTGTATGGAGTTCGGGTTGGAGAAGTGCAGAGTTCTGAATATATATCACGGAAAGGTGGTGGGAGAGGAAGAAGATCAGACTCTCTATGGTACAATTGTCGAACAAATGGATGAAAATGATTCCTACAAATACCTAGGATTCCAACAGAATCGCGGACTAAACCATAGGGACATTAAGCAAATGGTTCAACAGCATTTTGAGCAGCGTCTCAGGGTCTTGTTACGCTCTAGACTGAACTCAAGAAATCTGTTTAAGGCTATTAATACTTTTGCTGTGCCAGTCTTGACATACTCTTTCGGAATTATCAAATGGACCACCACTGATCTGGAGAATATCAACATTAAAACCAGAGTGTTGTTGACTAAAAGCCGGAAGTTACACCCCAAATCCTGTAAAGAGAGAGTGACTCTCGGTCGGGAAGTAGGCGGAAGAGGTCTACTGGATATCCACGAGTTGTGCAATCGTCAAGTTCATGATCTCAGGACGTATTTTACAAACAGAGAACACCCTTTACATCAGGCAATCGTTTGCACGGATAGGAACTTTACACCTTTGAATTTGGCTTCGCAGGGAGCTGCGTATCCACCATTTCACACGGATGAGGAGAAGGAGACCATCTGGGCATCTAAAGAGTTGCACGGAAGACACTATAGTCAGATCCACCAAGATCATATCTCCAAGAGCCTGTCTTACAAATTTCTTCAGAGCGGGCAGTTGTTTCCGGAAACGGAGGGCTTTATACTCGCCATCCAGGATCAAGTCATTCGTACAAGAAACTATAGGAAATTCGTCATTAAAGATGGGACCGTTGATGACTCATGCAGGAAGTGTCATTTATGTCCTGAAACGATTGATCACATCACAGCAGGTTGCAGACTCCTAGCTGGTACCGAATACACCGGGAGACATAACTCAGTAGCCAAAATAATCCACCAAGGGCTTTCATTACATCGTAACCTGTTGGACAATATGCCTCCGTATTATGAATATAATCCTGAGTCAGTGCTGGAAAATGATGCCTATAAATTATATTGGGACTTTACCATCTATACCGACAAAACTATCCCGCACAATAGGACAGATATGGTCCTTCTAGATAAAAATCAGGGCATTGCTCACCTAATGGATATCTCAGTCCCTGCTGACGCCAATGTAGATGCTAAGTATAGAGATAAGATCGAAAAGTATCTGCCCTTAGCAACTGAAATACAACGACTGTGGAAGCTTAAAGAAGTAATTATTGTACCATTTATAATATCCGTCACGGGGATCACTCCTCATTCTTTCCCGAGACATCTGAAGCAGCTCCACTTAGGTGAAAACGTTCACACCCAAAGCCAGAAAGCTGTTATCCTGCACACCTGTAATATCACTAGATCTTTCCTAAACTCAGGGCAGTGACTGTATTTTTATTATTAATTATGTGACCGACTGCTAACCTATGGTTTATGCTCTTCTATTTTAACAATTTTTTTTTTAAATTTTTAGCAACGCTTTACGATTTTAACAACTTTTTTCGATTTTAACACCTTTTTACGATTTTAACTTTCAAATTTTAGGAATTTTAAGTCAAATTTTAGCAATTTTAAGTCAAATTTTAGTAATTTTAAATCAAATTTTAGCAGTTTTAAATCAAATTTTAGCGTTTTTAAATCAAATTTTAGCAATTTTAAAAGGCTCTAGCTTTGAAAGACTTGGCTATGGTCCGTCTTTCAATGAGTTTCTTTCCACAAACGTATTTTTGTGAGAAAAGTACTTCTGTTCTATAATAATATAATAATAATAAGTGTAGAGCGCTTATGCTGATAAGATAAGCAAGTACATGCCTTTGGCAGACGAAATCAAGTGCCTCTGGAAATTGGACAAAGTAATAATTGTGCCAATTATTATTGGAGCAACGGGGGAGATTCCTGTGAAGTTGTTTGATAGTCTTAGGAAGATCAACCTTAGAGAGAAGCTATATCAACAATTGCAGAAAGCAGCTTTGCTAGGGAGCTGCAGGATTGTGAGGCGAGTTCTGGGTGATGGATAGTTACCACCAACCGATAGATTAACCTGCATTTAAAACTTCAACTTTTAATTTCTACCCCAATTTTAAAGTTTTAACTCCAATTTTAAAGTTTTAACCCCAATTTTAAGTTTTTTTACTCCAATTTTAAAGTTTTAATCCCAATTTTAAATTTTTACTTCAATTTTAAATTCAAGGACTCTCCTTTGCATTGAATTGCCGGGGGAGGACTAAATATCTGCCGGCCTCGAGCTGTGAATTGAGATACGAGAACATAATAAGTGTAATAATAATAATAATAATAATAATAATCACAAATCACATGTACATATATACATATTTAAAAAAAAAAAAAAAAATCTATGATATACTAATAAGGTAGCATTTAAAGTAAAGTTTCATGCCCTAGGCCCAGCCCGGCATGAACTGGGAAGCCACATACATTTGTGTGAAAATAAAAATGAAAAATATAATAATAATCGGTCAAAAACGACGAAAAACTACTTGGGCATATCTACCAACATGAAAAAGCAAAAATTGAGAAGGTGCGCGAGGGACTACCACAAGAAGAATTAATTGAAAACACGGAAGCTGGTAAAACTGAGACAGAAAGAGTGAAACAAGCTAAGCAAATAACTAAAGGCAGGATACAGAAAGAAAAAAAGCGTAATTGGGAATCAAAAAAAAGTGCACGGCCAGTACCTCTCTGAAACCAAGAAAGAACACGTTGATTGCCAGCTAACCTGGAAATGGCTTCGAAATGGTGGCCTAAAAGGAGAGACGGAATCACTAATCACAGCATGTCAAGGCCAAGCTATTGCGACAAACTACCACAAAGCTAAAATACTAAAACAAGTAGTGGATCCGAAATGCTGCCTTTGTAAAACTGAGCCTGAAACCATACATCATATAGTACCTGCATGCCCAATCCTCGCAAACAGAGAATACATTGAACGCCACGATGCAGTCGGAAGCCATCTCCACTGGAGCATCTGCAAAAACTACAACATTGATACATGCGAAAAATGGTACGAGCACAAACCGGACCCAGTTACTGAACCCGCGGACGTTACAATAATCTGGAATACGCAAATACAAACCGACAGATGCGTTCCGGCGAACAAACCAGATATTATGATCAAAAACAAAAAGGAGAAGACCTGCATCATTATCGACGTTGCTATCCCCTCAGACTACAACATCGTCCAGAAAGAAGCCGAAAAGCGAACCAAATATAAGAACCTGGCAATCGAAACGCAAAGAGTGTGGGGGATGAAAACACGAGTTGTTCCGGCAATAATTGGAGCAACAGGCACCATTTCTAAAAGTGCAGCTAAGGCAATCACAGAGATTCCGGGCACACACAACCTCAGCGTTCTCCAAAAGACAGTCATCTTGAAGACAGCTCATATTGTTAGAAAAGTCATGGACTGAAGTACCTGAGAAATGAGGTACACTTCTGGTACTTTGGCCGCTAGGAAAAATTTGCCGTCCTTAAGACGTGATATAAGGTCAAAATAATAATAATAATAATAATAATAATAATAATAATATTAATAATACTAATAATAATAATAATAATAACATCCACATCCTGCGAGGTATTTTTCAAGGTGACAGTCTTACAAGGGGAACTTACGGACCTCACGCCTCCGAGTGGGCTGAATTTTTTTTTAAAGACTCTATGGACCAATTCTAGAGGTCAATTTGAGCCGTTTTCCCGAATGCGCAATAGGAAGGGCGTAAAATATTCCCAAAAGTTGCGTTTTCGGCGTGTGATTTGGTCGTGCGGCGCGTGGCAACACTGAAGCAGCCTCTTGTACCGCTTTATCGGCCTGAAGGTTTCAGCGGTGTTCGGAGCCCTACTGCACAGGCACTGGTTCCATGACAGAGATGTCCTGGGTTCGATACCCGACTTTTTATTTTCCACATGATCACGTAAAATTTTATTTTTAATTCTTCATCCACATTTATAAATCAAGCAGTTCCGATCACTATCCCCCTCATTTTACGTACATTTTCCTCCGATATTTATTCACATTGACCACCAATAACCGCATGAAACTTCATTGACATAAATTAATGAATTAAAAAGCAAAAGAAAACCTTATTCGTTACTACATTATCTTCTAATGTTTTCCTGGAAAAATATGTAATGTGTAAATAAATCGAAGAGCAACCCCAAACCCATGTGCATGCAGGGGCCGCCAAGAAACACATTTTTTTGGCCCTTTGCTTTTCAATTCATTAATTCATGTCAATGAAGTTTCATGCGGTTATTGGTGGACAATGTGAATAAATATCGGGGGAAAATCTCTGGTTACAGCTGCCCTTTCGATAAACACAAGAAAGACTTTCGTTCACTAACATGACCCTGCGCAACTGAATGATAAAAGCGTCCATGCAGCGGCTTGGAGGCCCAGGCTTCTAACTGGCCAGCAACTGGGTCTGAGAGTTGTTCTTCATTCAGATCGTGAGAAGCGAGGCGCAAAGGCGTGTAGGATTTGTCTATGGCATTTACTGCAGCATGCAAAGGGCTGTCGTTGCTACTGAGGAAGTAATTTCGCAGGTTACGGACTTGGCTGTGGCAGACCTCCTTCACATCAAGGATACCTCTTCCTCCCTGTTTGCGGGGGATGTGTATTCTCTCCTTGGCGGCTCTTGGGTGATGCTTATTCCACTTGATCATCAAGGTTCTGACTTTCCTATTAAGCCCCTGAAGCTCCGTGTCAGACCACGGGACAACGCCAACTGAGTAGGCTAACGCAGGAATGGCGAAGGTGTTGATTGCCTTGGTCGTATGTTTCGAGTTTAGAGAGGTCGTAAGTGTCGCACTCAACCGATCAGCGAAGGTGTTAACCAGGTGCTCTTGGACTTTCACCTTCTGGATGGAAGAATTCTGCCACATTCCGAGGTATTTATAAGCATCTTCTATTGTCAAGCTGTTGATGA